ACTAGAGTTACAGATGTGAAGGGAAAAACATAATATTCTCAGTTATACGAGTCAGATAGTTCTCTCATTCCACCATGTGGGTGCTGAGGATCAAACTCAGGTCATCAGACTTGATAGCAAGCACCATAATGCACTGAGCTAATCCTCCTGCTTCTACCTTTCAGTACTAGGATTACAGCACATCCCACAACACTCCGTTTTAAGACCTGATTTCCTATTGAAGGTTAGACACTGTCAGCCACATAGAGAACCAGTACAACAACATACCAGCAGTCACATAAGTGAACTGTGTGATTAGTGAGGGAAATTTGAAAACAAAGTCAACAAGACTTTATGATTCCATTTCCATACACATGAGAAATGATGAGTCAAGAGTAGCTGAAAATCTTAGCTTGAACAACTCGAAGAATAATGACTCTTAAGTAGATGAAAGGAAGCAAGGGGCTCACAGTACTCTGCCTAGCAACCAAGTTGGCATTATATCCCAATGTAAGTATCACCATAGAGGAGAAGGTAGAAGGTCAACTGCATAGTCTCATTTGGAGACTTACTGTGGCTGTCACTTTCCTCTCTATCAGAGCTTGGTTATTCTGACAGTGATTCATCTGATGCCCCTCAGGTTTCTCTGAAGGAGTTGATACATCTTTTAATCTTGTAAACAGAGCCTATTATAGCTCATAGTTTACTAATAAGAATAAGAGATTTCAACCTTTTCCTTTAAAACACCAGACTTATTTCTATTCTTTTTCTATTATGTCCTCTTTCTTGGCTTGAGTATTTTTCTGTGAAATAGTTTTTGCAATGCCTTACTTAGGCATTACCATATGACTCTTAGAAGAAAAGGCTAACAATAAATAAACAATAAATACTGAACTTTTTCTCACAAGTATGTAGGTATGCATTATTGCTTTTAAATAAAGTTACTTCTTTTCCTTCCTTCTTTTCTCCCTCCTTTCAAAGCAGTATTATTCTTTATGCTGCTAGAACTATATTTCATCCATCCTGTGACAGGATTGAAGAGAGAAGACATCTGGTATAAAATCCCTTCCATGACAATGGAGTGCTTATCCCCTTGCCTTATCTTACCTCGAGAAGCACAGCACACAAGAGCTGCTCCCAAGGAGTCCAGTATGTGCTGCGTAGCATGTAATGTCTGTGAGAGGCCACCCTGACTGTGCAAGGAGCAGGCGTGCATCGATTTCTAATAGACCTTGAGCACACTCATGTCTTGTAGGAATGAAGAAGTAAATGCTGTATCTTCTGTCACAGGGGTCAAGTGTGTGATCCTTGCTCCTTTTACTCAGGTCAGCTTCTTGTGCTTACGAATTCATCCTCAAAGTACTTGAAGTGCTTTTCTGCCTTAGAAATGGATTAGTGTATGCTTTATTCAGATTGCTTTTAAGTTTGAAACATGTCCTAGATCAGGTAGGAAAGATTGGCTCCTGTTTGCCATGAACCAGCCTCATCTTGGAGAGGGATTCTGAGGAAGGAGTTGAGAAAGGAACAACTCAGAGTCAAATTGTGGATTACAAGCTGATGGCCTATGTTCTGCTGGAGGCAGCTTTTCAGAAAACTCTCTTAAGACAGCTCTATCTTACAGTTCTAAAGAACTCTCTGGCTAGCTCATCTCTTGCAAATCAAAAGTCCAGTCTTTTATTTACATATCAATTCAGTCATCTACCCAGGTTCTCTTTTGATTATCCCATGAATCAGCATTTCATGACCCTGGCCCCCTGATTCTTAGAAAACGACAGCAAGCATATTTTTTTTAACATTGCAAATGAATTCACAGACCTGACTGCCTTTGTAAGCACAATGAGCTAACTGGTTGGGATCCTGTCCTGAGATTACCATTTCCAACATGCCTAGGCCCAAACTAGCTCTGTCCCAAGCTGATCTTGAACTCAGGAGTGTCCCTGCTTTCTATCTGCCTGCCTTTGTAGTTTTCTGACAAGCTAGCTCACAATGCAGCTGCCTCTGTTATTTTAGGTCTTCAAAGCTCCTTAATACAATTCATATTGTATCCTTGTATTTTGCATACTTGAGAAATTGTATATTCTCAAACTCATGTTTTCAGAGTTCTTTTCCACAGCCTTAAGGGCTAGCCTGAAGGTCTCAGCATTCACCATTTTACTGAGACACTAACCACACCCTTGCCTCCCAGTCTTGTGCGGTTTCTGATGATCAGGGAATCATTAACCTTGGCAGAGAGCACCTTCCTTGGAGGAGGAACTTGAAAATCTGCACATTACTGTACAAACAAGCCTTACACTACAGCAACTATCAGCACTTGTGGAGGCTCATTCCCAGCTGGCTTTGCTCCAGGGGTGGGAGCCATGTTACGTTGTGCCTTATATGACCAAGCATGTTTTGGGAGGGAATCTAATCCTTGCCCACATTCACAGTACAATCATCACAGACTTTCCTGAGCACACAGTGGTATCCAGATGCTTTGGTCATTCTTTAGGTGTGACTTTTTGTTGTTTCTTGTCCTTCCTTCTCTTCTGAGAGCTGCCTTGCAGGCTTACTAGTCATTATCCTAGTATGTTCAGGCTAAGTATCTTCAACTGTAGTTTATAAACAACAAAAGAATGGAAACCTAAGATAGGGCGTCAACAGCATCAATGAGCATTCATTCTGCCTTGCTGTGTGTCGAATGGGTGTGCCTCTTAGCCACCTTTAGAAGAAGACTAACTTAAAGACTTAAAAGCTCTCAAGTCTTTTCAGCACTTGTGAGTAAGGTTTCAATATGTGAACTTTGAGCAGAAACAAACATTCAGGTCACCAGAAGGCATTCTAGGAAACAAAAATTTGGTATCTCCATTTGTTGATATATATTCTCTTTTCTGTCATACAGTGAAAGGACAAACTGACAAATATACATGTGTTAGGTTAAAATATAAAGAACCTGAGTGTTCAACAATGCAGGTTAAGCAATCCATTCTAAGCAACCAGGAAAAATTAGGAGTAAGACCATGAAAATTAATGTTTATCATTATCAGACTAATAGTCCTTAAAAGTTATTAGGTGCCGAATTTAGACTATGTACCTTTCTAAATGCTTTCTTTCTATTAACTTAATTAACTAACTCTTACTACAGTCTTTTAGTCAAAATCCATGATCCAACCCCATTTTAAAGATAGGGAAATTGAGGTTTAGAATTTACCTCATAACATGCTGAAGGATAGATAACTAGTATATGGAAATAGAATTTAAACTAAGCCAATTTGGCCTTAAAGTTTTTGCCCCCAGGCATCATTCACTAGATATCTCTGTAACTTTTTTTTTTTTAATAATCAAAATGCTTTTATTTCACAATGAAATGTGTTAAAGATAACCAGTCAAATTTTGACAAAGCCAGATGGCTGGGAAAATGAAACAATGTTTCCTCCCAGAGATTAGCAATACTCTGCATGGTAGAGTGATATTTAAAGTAGCATGTACATAGAAATAGGTCCAAATGAGGGTGAATCACGAGAGTGTTCCCTCTTGTGAGTTCACTACCAGGAGGAAGCAGACTGGAATACTTGGTTTATTTGTTACTGCCTATTGCTGTGTAACAGACCATGGCCAAAGCAGTTTATGGAGGACGTTTATTTTGGCCTACATTCCAGAGCGGTAAGAGCCCATTATGTCAGGGAAGCATGGCAGCAGGAGCAGGAAGCTGACTTTTGTTACCTTAAACAAAGAACAGAGAGTTAACTGGAAGTAGACAATGCTATATACTCTCAAGCCTACCCCAGCAAGGCTGTACCTACTAAACTTCCCCCAACAGGACCTCCAACTGAAGACCAAATGTTCAAATACCTGAGCCTATGGAGGACATGTCATTTAAATCACCTAAATTCCTTAATATTGATAGTGATTGTCACTCGTAAGAGGAATCATGGGGGATCTTTCTTTAACTTTATTCTTTAGATTATGTTCATGGTAAACACTTAAAAACCATATGATATAAGCAAGACTTTTGATGCTTTAAAACTTTTATTTGAACAATCTTTTATTGTGAACTATACATTACTTTTGTATATTCTGACCCACATAAGTGATTATAAGATGGTTGTGAGGCACTCATTTACCAGCTGCCCAAAGTCACCACCTTTGTAGTGAAGATGGAGGATCAGAAAGGCTTTTGGAACATTTATTTTTGAAACCTAAATTATTTATTAATTGCTATTAAATTTTGTACATGTATCTTCTGTAGTAAGTTACATACTTTTTAATTCTCTTAGATTTTTCTAGATGATCTATTATTTAATCTATAAGTAATAACTTCTTCCCAAATATTTACAATCATAATATTTACATAAAGTCTACCCAAAACTGAATGAGCTGTTTAAATAATAAGTAATTTCTTAGATAACATGGAAATGAACCTTACCTAAATATAAGCTAAAATATTAAAGTTACAGAATACCATATATAATACAAACTAGTCTTAATTATTGATATAAAAAATGTAGTGTATAAAGGGCTTTCTTTGAGACTGTTGTCTTCCCTGCACAAAGTTGTCTACCTATTTTAGCTCAAGTGACCATAACAAATACTATAGCGTAGGTGGCTGAAATAGTAGTTTATCTTGTTTGCTCACAGTATAGAGGTCTGGAGGTCTGAGATCAAGGTCTCTTCTGACTCCTTTCCTGCTGAGAGCACTCTTCCTCACCGGGGCTATCTTCTCTGTGTTCACATAGAGGAGATCTTTGACTCGTTTACTCTCAGAACACATCTACAGCCACAGGTAGGAGTCAACCCTTTGACTTCATTGAGTCTGAATTAGTTCCTCAAGACCTTCTCTCTAGAAGCAGTGATGTTGGGGTTAGGGCTTCAGTATTTGAATTGCTTTGACTAAACCCTTGACAGTACCCTTCCTAAGTCTGTGTTTAATTGATTTTATTGTGGATGGGACTATTTTCCTGCTCATGAATATCTTTAAGGTACTTGTTGCTCTACCATGTATCATGGGGATTTTATCTCAATTTAAACTATGAATTTCTTTTTAGACACAAAATCGAATGAAACTAATGGCTGACAACTATGAGGATGACCACTTCAGATCCTCCCGTTCCAATCAGACGAACCATAAACCCTCCCCAGACCAGGTAAGACCATGCTTGAGTGTTTCCTTTTTTAAAAAGAACACTTATATCCATATATGTTGTGGTAACATATTGCAAACTCTAGGTTATAAATTAGAAGAATCCTAGCTTTTCCTCAAATAATTTCAATATAGGAAGTTCATGATTCTGAAAGCATATGCTTCAATTATTTATAAGAACTATTATTATTAAGTAGTTGCCTTGAGATGAGAAAAAAACCGAGTGAGTCCTGCTTTTCTTATTAAAGAATTGATTCCTTTTTAGGAAAGCAAGACTCTGCTCAAGTGCAGGCATGGCTCGGAACAGAAATTAATTCTTGTTGAATTGCAAAGTATTCAGTCTCTGCACATTGTCCGTTAAAGGTACAGCTGCGGGCTGGAATTTCCCTCAGTGGTCAGTAGCTTATCTAGTGTGTGCAAGGCCCTAACTTGAATCTCCAGAACCACAAAAAAATTAAATCATTTTTGAATAGAGTGATAGATAAAATTTAATTTCTTCCCTTCATTTCCTGGTATACCCTTTTAACATGCCATTCTCAAGAGATATTGCTTTCAGGTTGCTACTAATGCAAAAGAGACATTCATGAAACTGAAGAGAATCATACTCAATTGCAAATTTTTGGTAGGAGGGGGAAAAAAAGCCCTTCCAAGATCTTGAATGTGATGAATCCCTATTCATTGAGATTGGCTAGATTATTTCATATCTCTGTGCCCAAAATCAGTTTCAACATCTCTGTCACACCCAGTTTTAAAATATATAAAAATGCAAAACTAAGGGGAAAAATAATAGCCAAGTAATTACAACCATATGACTGCAAAGTCAAGGAAAACTCCCCTACTAAACATCTCTACCAAGTGACAACTGGGGCATTGTCTTAGAAGAAGGCATAGAAACATACAGATGAAAGTAGCCATTGGTATCCAAAATGTTATTCTAAGAGTCAGAAGGAATGGTCCTATAAGATGGCCATTACTAAGGCAGCTGAGGCACACCTAGTACTTTAGAGGGAAAACAGAATCAGCCTTAAATCAAATGGAGAGCCATCTACCTGGTGTCCCCCACCTAGAAACCGCTGCTCTGCCTGCTTCCTGCTACTGAATTAAGACTGTCTAGCCTCTGCATGAAACGTCAGATCTTTTCCATGCAACAGGTTTGGATACGAGGTAGAGGTGATAGGATGTGGGAAGGACAAACAGAAATGGAAAAAGAACAAGTAGATCCTATAGAAAAGCTCTGACTTGAGAACATTACACCAGCTCTGGAAAAGGAGGAGGGTAGACATGGACCGTAACCTCATTACTAATTTGTAGTTTAAGGAGCTAGAACCTAATGTACAAACAGCCAAGAACTTCTTTTCTGCTACATTATGTTTATGCCTTTGTTTTAATACTAACCAACTCTTTTTCATTCCCATGCTGCCCTGGGGCATTGTTCCCTTGTCATCTCTCCCCATAGGATGAGGAGGAGGGTATATGGGCATAGCCAATCAGATGCTCTTAGTTCAGCCATTTTGTTCAGAACGGTGAGAAACAGCTTTCCTTAATTACAGAAATGATTTTCGCTTGTTTTCATGTTTCTTTCTCCGTGATCACCTTCACATCTCCTCTGTAAAGTCATGAACTCCCAGCGTGCTTTCTGCTCCTTTATTTTCACATTACTCTTGTGTGGATTGCTGTGCTTTTGACATAGTGGGGTTTGGATTTTGTGTCCTTTTTCTTTTTGTGTGTTATTAGTCACATTTATAATTTCTTTCTGTACATTTTTGACAGAACTTCCAGGGCATATAACGAAATTTCTCAATTGATGATTTTATTTATCAATCATCCTATCTCTGATGAATGTCCTGTTTAGTAACTCACCACAAATTGATAGTGGGTAGGGGACACTCAGATATGTTGCTATTAGCCTATGTTTAAAATATACTTTATGAAAATTATAAATATGCAATCTATTTTATTTTTAAAAAACTGTACTGTGAACTATACCTTCTCATGTTTCTACCTGCTTATAGAGAATGTACTGAATTCTGAGGGTCAGAACCTAGGATCTACCTGGGGCTTTAGCATTACTCTTAAAATATCAATTAAAAAAAAAGTTGGAATAAAGGAAGAAGTTTTTTAGAAAAAGAAATTATTTTAAATTTCTTTTCTTACAATGCTGCCGTGTTCAACAGCTACCAGGACACTGTCTAGATTCTCCTTTACAGGCCCTTTGGCTGGAAAACACAGTGCAGCTGTGGCCATATCTTCCTTTGATCTTATGCCCTTGAGGTTTGTCTAAGGAAATCAGTTTCTTGGAAAGTGATAATTGTGACTACTAAGCTCACATGTACTGGTCCTTGCATCCGCTGGACACACTGCCCATGCTTTTGTTGACCTCACTCCTTTGGAGTCAGCCCTCCCTGAATGTCTGTGTCTTGATGTTAAACTGCTTTAAAAATGCAAACATATCAACCTCTGAATATTGAACACAGCCAAAAAGGATAAAAGGTAAGTCGTTCAGTGGCCAGGTTTCTGTATGACTTTTAGCAGCAGGTAGGAAATGTGCAGGAAGAGAAATGTACAGGTGCAACCAGAAAGCTTGCTGCACACCGGAAAAAGCTAAAAACCAGAGGAAATCTGTGTCCTGATTGTTTATCTGCACACTGCAGGGGCATGTATTTGTTACCAGGAGGTATGTAGAGAGCACACAATAGCTATAGTTTAGCAGTCATTTGTACATAAATGATTCTGCCTTCTCCAGTTTTTTGACAGGACATGTAACTTCTTGGCTTGCCACAAGCAAGAAGTGTGCCCCTCATATACATGAATTGTTTTACTCAACCCTTTTTCTGTCAATGATAAGAAACACATTATTGCTTTGGAAAATAAGGTTACTGAGTAATTGTACCATGAGATTGAAAAATAAACAAGCCATCTCATGTCCTGGGTCTGGAGTCTACATTTCCATGTCTGCTGCTCTGATGGAGCAAGGTCTAGAGCAAGCTTCCTCTGCTCCTGCACTAGCCCTTTCCGACCTGTGTTCTCAGAGGCCGACTGCACTTGCTGCTGTAGGTAGCTCTCATGGTACCTTTGCAGCTAGTTGGCAGGAACTATTGTTTATACAATACAATGCTTCATACTTTCTAAACTCTGCTACACACTTTATATGGGAAAACACACTAATAAAGGCTGGGGTTGTGGTATGTGCCTGTAATATCAGCACTTAGATATCTGAGGCAGAAAGATTATAAATTCAAGGGCATCTTGAGCTACACAGCAAGACCCTGTCTCAAAAACAAAATCAAGAATTATATGAGCAGTCCCTAAAGCACTGCAGAAGCCTTGGCTTCTTTCTTTCTTGTATTTATTTCTGTGTTGTGTCTACAGAAAATGGATTTTTCTTAACAAAATTTTGAATTTGAAATTTATATTTTCCTACCAACTTAAGAACTTAATGTATTCTCTAAAGCATTTAATAAGCCACCACTCACTGGTGAAGCTTGAGTCTGAAGTAGAAACCATAAATAATGAGTTGGGAGGAGCTGACAGCTCTGAGCTGGGCCAGGCGGGGAGGCTGCAGAGCCTGAGGTTCTGAGTACAGGCTTTTGAACAGGCTTTGCTGAGTCCTTACGGTAGCACGTGCTGGCTGGTGTGCTCCCTAAGAGACGGTGATGTAAGAAGTAGAGGTGTTGTGAGACAGGGACCTAGACTACACAGCCTGGATCTAGACACCACCACTTAACTCTGTGGCTGAGGAAAGTAAGGTCACCTCTCTGTAGGAGTTTCTTTACCTAGCTCATGAGTTTCTCAGTGCTTGTGTTAATGTAGGATGCTGCAGCAGTTTCTGACATCCCTAAGCACTGTACTTTGTGCAGTGCTGTTACTATTTTTTTGCTGTTGAACTCATTAATTTAGATCTTATTCCAAGAAGAATACGTTTTCAGTGACTGTTGGTTACTATTATTGGAAATATCATCATCTAAGTACATTGTTTTTATTTCAGAGGTAAGACTGTAGTGGGGAGATTTGGAAGTTGTGACTCAGGGGTCCCAGGCATTTCTGTGTTCTAGGACAAGTGACTAGAAGCTGTTGTTAAGTAGCAGCCAGGATACATTTTATTACTGAAAGTTTGATGTCATGTATGTGGAGGAATATTTTCCTTTAGGAAAACAGCTTTCAGGTTAGCAAGATTGTTCAGTGGGTAAAGACACTTGCTAAACAAGCATGACAGCCTGAATTCCATCTCCCTAACCCCATATATGTCAGAGGGAGAAAACTAACTCCACAAACTTGTCTACGGACCTCCCTATGTGAACCATGGTATGCACACACACATACACACACACACATATATACACACACACACAGAATAATAATAATAATTAAAAGAAGATACTTTGAATTTTGTTAAGAGATTTCCTCTAACATATACATAGTCAGTGGCGTTTTCTGTAAAAGAATACATTCCATCGGTAGCAGTGACATGTTTGCCAACATAGGACTCCAAACAGTAGTACATATCTGACCACCTTGGCCACCCCAGTGAGAGCACCAAAGGCAGGCTAGATTTATGTCAACTCAACACAAGGTAGGGTCATCAGAGAAAAGGGAGTCTCAACTTAGAAAATGCCTATGTAAGATCAAGTTGTAAGGCATTTCCTTCAGTAGTGATCAGTGGGGTGCAGGGGTGGTCTCCGTTCCATGAAAGCAGACTGAGCAAGCCATGTGGAGGAAGCCAGCAAGCAGCATCACTACCAACCCCATAGTCTAACAAAGACAGAAGATTTTCTGTCTAAATTAGCTTGTTCATGCTGTTCTTTATCCCATCAGTTTTTCCTTTCTTCTTCTTCCTTGACAATAGAACATTGAAGCCATGAGTAAAGGTATTTTAATATGATTGCTCTCGCATTCCTGTTGTCCAGAACAATGCCTCTTCACCCTTAATTTAATAGGTATATATGCACACAAATAAAATACATATGATTATAAAATAGAAATGTATATTATTAATATATATTAATATGTGTATTAATAATATATATTTTATAATCATTGTGTATTTTATGATATATATAATCATATAGGATATATAGGATATATAATCATATACATGAATATATATCCATCCTAAGTTTACAAAATCCAGGAAAGCACTTACATTGAAACCAAGTATACAGAAATGGCTTTGAACCAATGTACTGCTAATATCAGCATCACTGTTATAAAGAGCAGAACTTCAGAGAAATGCAGGAGATGGCAGATGTAAAGGAAAACTGTAAAGAAGCCCTAACCTCTGTCTCCTGCAAGCATTCCAACTCTAGAAGACTGAATATAATTTAAAGATACTTTCTGACAGTCACCTGAACATCTAAGGGCTAAAACGTATCCTCATGTAACCTGTGGCTCATAGCTGACAAAACTAGCCCCATGCTCTTCAGGGACTTCACCATGAAGAAGTTGGCTTGTCTGGCCCCTCAAGTAAAGTAAGTCTTCATCATAGGCCATAAAAGTTCGTATTGCTGTGTAGACCTTCAGTGACTAAAATGTAGCAATGGGGTTATATGTGTATCAGAAAAACAAAAGTTTTTAAAGCAGGATTTGGGACACTGTGTTTCAGAACTTAGGATGAGTGATGATGCCAGTATTAGCACTACTTTTGAAACAAGTGCTTTAGACATTTCTTTGGGTCTGTTCTAATGGGGTGTCCACACTGTGTCTTAGAGTGACTATTGCTATGATGAAACATCGTGAGCAAAAGCAACTTGGGGAGGAAAGGGTTTATTCCACTCACAGTTCCACATCACAGTTCATCATCAAAAGCCTCACACAGGCAGGAACATGGAGGCTGGAGCTGGTGTAGAGGCTGTAGAGACATGCTACTTACTGCCTTGCTCCCTGTGGCTTGCTCAGCCTGCCCTCTTCAGCCCAGGGGTGGCTCTACCTATAATGTAATGAGCCCCTCCACAAGAATCTCTAATTAAGAAAACGTATTGCAGGCTTCTTACAGCCTGATCTTATGGAGACATTTTCTCAATTGAGGTTCTCTTCTCTGATGACTCCAGCCTGTGTCAAGTTGACATAAAACTAGCCAGTATGACACATACCAGTTGCAGTATTGCTACAGTTTGTAAGTCTTAAATCTTCAGAAAATCTGTCTATAGAAGGGAAGTAGTAAATAAATCAGCAGAACTGAGGAATGTCCAATCTTTTGGCTTCTCTTGGTTATATTTGATAAAAAATAATGGTCTTGAGCCACACATTAACTATGTGAACAGTAACAAAAGCTAACAGAGGGTGGGATTTCTATGTAATTTTTGTTATATAAACCACTACAAATAACCAAAAAATCATCACATAATAACACAAATTATATGACATGTCATTCAGTCTTTTACAATCATAAGATAGGTCCCAAGTTTGTGATTTTTTTTTTTTTTTTTTTTTGGCTTTTCAAGACAGGGTTTCTCTGTTCAGCCCTGCCTGTCCTGGAACTCACTCTGTCGACCAGGCTGGCCTGGAACTCAGGAATCCGCCTGCCTCT